TGACTGTTCTTAACTTTTCTAATTATAATAAGCATATGGAACATGTTGGTGATAAAAACAAAAATATAAATAAAACAATAAAAGTATATTACTATGGATACAAATATGGCAGGAACTCTAACCTAAGCAAAAAAAAAATTATTTTTAAAAATTCCTAACGGCCTACATGCACTGCATGACTCTGAGAAATAGGTCCCTGAGAGAGATTTGGTGGTTTCTAATTAAGCCCCTGGCAGAGAGTACTTCAGAAAATTAAGTAGTTTTTGGAGCACATACTCTTGAGACATTCCCTTACTTGATTAGATGAGGCAACAATGCAATGTGTACATGAATTCTAAACAGATGGGGGAAATAACCATAGAAAAAGAGTTGCTGGCTATGGCCAAATTGTGAAAAGTATTTTTCTAATGGGCAAGTAAAATATACCTCATTGAAAAAGAAGTTAGAGAGGACATGGCCACTAAAAAGAAAAAGCCAGTACACAATGGAATTTTACTCAGCCATGAAGAAAAATGAAATCTTATCATTTGCAGGTAAATGGATAGAACTGGAGAACATCATTCTGAGCAAGGTCAACCAAGCTCAGAAGACCAAAAATTGTATGTTCTCCCTCATATGGGAACTTTAGATCTAGGGCAAATGCAGCAATGTGGTTGGGCTTGGATCACAAGAAAAGGGGAGAGCACATACGGGAGATACAGGAATAGGCAGAAAACCCAAAACATGAAAGTGTTTGATGTCCCCACTCCAGAGGAACTAACACAGAAACCTTAAAATGACAAGTTATTATGAGCAGGGGATCAGGAACCAATGTAAAGATCATTGAGTTAGAGTTGAATCAACATGGGTCGTAACACATGGGTACATGAAAGCAATAGTAGGAATCTTTCTGTATAGCTATCCTTATCTCAACAAGCAAAAATGCTTTGTCTTTCTTATTATACATATGTCTTTTCTTCAACAAAATCAGTGATAAGGGCAGAACAGGACCTGCCTGAAACTGAGGGGGGGAGGGGGGAAGGGGGGAGGAGGGCAGGGTGGAGAAATTACTCAAACAATGTACGCACATGTGGATAAATGAACAAAAAAATAAATAAACAACAACAAAAAAAAGCCAAAGTTAAATGCCCTCCAATTGGGGAGGGAGAAGGTGATGATAGGAAGGAGGAAGAAGGGAGGCTGTTAAGTTGTTGGTATTATTGTTTCTTGACTGGAGTGATGGCTACTCAAGATTGCACACTTTGAATAATTAAGCAACTTTATGTATATATGTTACACTGAAAACTTTAAATATAAAGAAGTTAAACACCACCACCCCCAACAGAGAGTCAGAGAGACTAACCTCAGAATCTTTGTGGGTTTCTATGAAAGAAGCAACAAAAAAGGAATTTGTTTACTGTAACACTAGGGCATGTCATTGAGTCAGACACATGTTGTTGTGGTGACATTTCTTCTTATGAGGTCCTTTTGTGAACATTTTGATGTGGCATTAGTCCAAGCTATTGCTTAATACTAAACAAGATGTTTTATGCTTAACTATTTGATACTAACCAATGCAGCTGTCAGCCAGCAGCCACACAGGGGAGCCTAGATAGATGCATGGTACTATCTGCAGTGGCCAGGGCTGCAAGAGATGTACTCTGAGGTAAAAATGAGTTACAGCCTTCTTCCATAAGCTATACATCAACAAGTATAAATAGTACCATTCATACTAAGATCATGAATTCTAAATGGAGAATGACTGTCTGGGTTATTTTAATTGAAGAGACTCTCCAAGAATTGATAGCTAGTTTAGAGCAATTTGTAAATCATCTGAGGAGGGGCAGAAGCACTGATGCTTGAGTTCTACCCTGAGATTCAGATTTAATTAACATGGGACATGACCTGGTCCTTGGGATTTCTTTTCTAACTCTCTAGATAATTCTAATCTGCAGACAAGGATTCATCACTGCTCAGATTAGGACTTAGGTTGACAGCCTATCACAAAGTTATTTCAGGTGAGGAGAATCTCAAAAAGAAAAATATGAGAATGAGCAGAAAGGTCCAGTTCTTAGGGAGAATTGATATGGTTGGCCAGAAGTAAAGGGTCATACAGTGAGATCAGGTTAGATCTGTGCTTCCCAAAGTCATGGGCAGTTTCTACATGAAAAGAATTCGTGTTGTTTTAGAGTCTCTACTTAGGCTTAGGAAAACCAGCATCATTCATCCTGACTGTAGCTACCTATTTCTCTCAGCAACTCAGTTCTGTGATTTTTCTGGGGTGAGAAGAGTAATAATTTCTTCATTATAAGAGCTAAGAATAGCTTATATTCTTTATTATAAGAATAGTTTTTATAATGAAGAGTATAAATAGCTCTTACACTCTATTATACTCTCTTCCTCATTCTGAGTGATAGAGACACGAGGGATACTATGTTTTAGTGATTTAATATGGCTGCCAATGTTTTTACTTTCAACACACAGAAATAATTTAAAGCTCATTATGCAGCAGACACATTGTATTAACTCATGTAACCCTCACAGCAACACACTGAAGTCAGTACTTTCATTAGTCCTATGCTGCAAGAAGTAGAACATGATCATGTTACTTGTTAATAAGTGAAGGAACTGGGATTCAAAGCCAGACAACCTTGTTCTGTCTTAACAACTACACTCACAGAAAAGTCTGGAGAGGACACATGGGTAGAAGGTATAAATGTAAGGGTGGAAGCCTTAAATAACAGACTCCTGTAATGTCTCCTCCTCCTCTTCCACTTGTGCTGAAGTTTTTCAGGGTACTAAATATGCTCTTCTGTCTTCTGTAATAGCTATGAATATTTTTTTGTCAACAAAATCAGGTTTACTAACTTGCTGCATCAAAAGAGGATACATCCCAGGGGAAATAGTGGAATGCCCCAGTAAGAGAATTCTAAGATGGGCTTGTTATTGAGTGGCCTTATGCCAGATGAGTTTGAGGAGGGCCTACAGTCAAGGTTCTCTCTGTAACAGGTGCTGTGGACAACTGTGATGCTCAAGAGGGTTGTGGAGCCCTGTTTAAGTACCTCATGTAGAGGGCTTTTGTTTCAGTTTTGGGGTGTTTTTTGTTGTTTTGTTTTTAGCAGTACTGGGATTTGAACTCTGGGCCTTACATTTGCTAGGCAGGCACTCTACTACTTGAGCCATGCCCCAAACCTTTTTTGCTTTAGTTATTTTTGGAATAGGATCTTACTTCTATGCCCAGGCTGGCCTGGAACATGATCCTCTTATTGACACTTCCAATGTAGCTGGGAAGACAGGCACGTACCACCAAATCCAATTTTATTAGTTTTGAGATGGGGTCTTGAGAACTTTTTGCTCAGACTGGCCTCAAGCTGTGATGCTCCCAATATCAGCCTCCTGAGTAGCTAGGATTACAGGTGTGAGCCACCATGCATGGCCAGGATGAAGTTTTAAAATCCTCTCAGGTGATCTTGATATATAGACATACACCCACCACATTACAGACAACAGAGACGCATACTATGAGAATCACTAGCTGATAAATCTTTTGGTGATTATCAAAAGTTCATGGACAATCCATCATTCTTCTAGCCACAGACTGATACACAAAACTTAGCTCATTATCCTCTAGTCTGTCTTCTGATATTCCATATCATGATGAATAATAACAGATATAAGCTTCACCCAGTCTCTACCTGCAGACTCTTTCTCAACTTCCCAAATCCAATCTACCACCAAACCCAACTACTCCTTTTTCAAATCCACCCCTCTTTCTTTCACATTGTGACTATTCTAGCTCTTTACCAACCCTTCTGAAAATAACTAGTCCTTTTAATGCTAATTTGGCCTCTGCAACACCACTGATTTATTTTCCTAAATAAAATCTATTTTATTTTGAAACACCTTTCATGGTTCCCTGTTGCCTATAGGACGAATGCAAAAAAGTAGCATAAAAGAGTCACCTATACCTACCTCTTCTACAATTTTATCTCTCACCATTCCCTGCCCCCCAAATCCTTCAGGCTGTGGGTTTCAGTCACAATAAACTTCTCATCCTTCTATGAGTTAATCATAAGCATTCATGTTTCCAAACCACTGCAAGTGCTATGTCCTCTGCCTAGAACATTCTTCCTCAATCAGAGAGGAACTCTCTGGGTACTCAACCTTCAGTACCCAATACAATCTTGACTTCCTCAGAAAAATCACTCCTGGGCTATTCTTCTGGGTCTCATATGACTGATGGGCTTCTCCGATTTCCAGGGCCTCCTTATTCTATATTGTCTTCTTGTGCCCAAACTAAGCAGACACTCAATGTACTCAATGTTTGTCAATTGAAGAACTGAGAAGTATGACCCAGGAAGCTAAGGAACCATTGCAGTCTTCTAGTCAAAAACCATATGAAACTAAAATAGTGGTGTTCAAAATGGAGAAAAAGAGGTTGTTGACAGTTTTCATGAGGGATGCACAAAATAAAATAAAAACTGAAGTAAACAGTACTTTTGTATTTGGAAGGTTTGAAGATTGAGGGTCCCTGGCCAATACTAGAGAAATTAGGAAGAATTATTCCCTGTGATGGGTTCTTTCATAGTAAACTTAACTCCAGTTTATGAGAAAAACATTTTAAATCATTCCAGAATTAGGAGAAACATCAGGCAAAATAATTATCCCAAGGTCCTCAAAGGCAGAACTATTGTTAGAGACCAAGTGTCCTAATATTTGGGACTTTTCCCACTGTAGTGTACTAACAATTTCATTAGATTGCATGTTCTGGACTTGAAAACTGAATGTTCCAGAAAAACATGCCTAAAGACAGGGAGTTAACAGATAAATTCCCTTGAAAGGGATTTTTCACAAGCAAGCTTAATTATCTATGTTGTTTCTATAATTCCTACACTTTTATCCCTCGGCAAATTTACACAATGTCATTTTTATTGGGTCACTTCCATTCCACATAAAAAGTCTTCTCTAAGTTTGAATCCTATGGTGACCTCACCATTGATTGAACAAGCATGCACACTTACCTTTTTCCCTGCATATAGTTTAATAATTTTGTTAGATGTCAGGTTTTTATGATTTTGCACCAGGTCTCTGAAGCCAGACTCTCTGGGTTTGATTCCTACTGCTGACAACATTTGCAATAGTTATTTAACTTCCTCAGTTTCTTTATTTATAAGATTAAATTGTTAACAGGTCCCACAAAAGCTGGTTCTGCTCTTATCTTGGAATGGTACCTCAGTAAATGTTAAGTACTATAATATAGTATTATAATGGCAATAACTCTTCCTATTATCACTTATATAGTGAGTTCAGTAACTGATACATCTTTAATGTCTGTATTAATGATATGTCTTAGTTTATAAATTTCTTGGTTGTTCATGGGGTCAAAAAGGATATACATCTAATCAAAAGTTCAAAGGAGTTTTATCTTTTTCTTTTCCATTTTTTTTCTCACTATGCATTCCAGACTGATTTGGAACCCACTGTGTGGCCCAGACTAGCTTTAAACTTGCAATCTTCCTGCCTCAGCCTCCTGAGTGCTGGGATTACAGGCATGCAACAATGTGCCCAGCTTAATCAAAGGTTTTGAATGATACGTAGAACAGAAATAAATTCTACTGTAAGCAACTTAAAAGTAAACAAACTTTCAATAACCTACAGAGACACTTCAACCTCCTGACCACACTGAGCAGTCATCTTACCATAGGCTAAGTTCTCTGCCTTTTAAAATAACCCATTCTCAAATATTAATTACAACGATTTTTTTGGGGGGGGTAGTACTGGGAATTGACCTTAGGACCTCTATCACTTGAGCCATACCCCCATCCTTTTTTGTTTTAGTTATTTTTCAGATAGGGTCTCATGCCTTTGCCTGGGGCAGACAGCCATTCTCCTACCTTTGCCTCTGGGTAACTGAGATTACAGACATGTCCTGTCATGTTCAGGTATTATTTGAGATAAGGGCTAGCTTTTTTGCCAGGGCTGGCCTTGAACTGTGATCCTCTTATCTTTGCCTCCCACATAGCTAGGATTACAGGCATGTACCACTGCACTTAATCCAATTGTAATGATCTTACCAAATGATGTTTACCTCACCTTGAAACCTCATCAAAAGTAAAAAGCAGTGAAAAAGCTTGAATTTAATAGCCTTTTGTGCCTACGTATGATTACAAACAAAGGAAGAACCAGACAGCAAATATTTATTTTTCCAAATTCAGCTATGTGAATCCAGGAAATAACTTCCTCTCCTACTATTAACTGAATATGTGGATATTTCTAAATACCAGAGATATTGTAACACTTGGGTTCTTTCAACAGTCTTTCAATAATCATACTCCTAGCTATCTATCCAACTGAGTTGAAAACAAAATCCTGCACACAAATGTTTATGTCAGTTTTACTCATATTGTAAAAACTTAGAAGCAACCAGATGTCCTTCAATAGGTTGGTGAATAATCAAATTGTTGTTTATCCCATACAATGGAGTAATATTCAGTGATAAGAAGAAATAAGTTATTGAGCCATGAAAAGATAGAGAACCTTAAACGTACCCTGTTTGGTGAAAGCAGCCAGCCTGAGGAAGGCTACACATTCTATGATTCCTTCTGTATGATATTCTGGAAAAGACAGAACTATAATCAGGGCAAGTGCAGAAAGGGGAAAAGGGAGAAGGGAATAAGAACAAAGGAATTTTTATGGGAGTGAAGCTACTCTTTATGTGTGTAATAGTGACTAAATGACATTGTACATTTGGTGAAAGTGGCATGACACAATTTTTAAACACAAACACTGGTATGTTTTAAAATAGTAGGTTTATGTTTAAGTATTTTTTTTTCTTCATCAGTGTCAACTGCATTTCATTTTAAAATTTAATTTTACCCAATTGGCAAAAATATCAACTTTAGTAGCTTGTTAGAAGCAGAGACATTGGCTGATTTTCTTAAAGTTTTTCACTGTTTATAAGACATATGTAAGTATATTAGAATGAAATGTAAACTAAAAGAGAAAATGTTCTTCAACAGCTCTCAAAAGCACCTCATTTGTGGCAGCTGCCTGATTTTTATTCGTCATTATATTATCAGGAGTCAAGCCAGAAGGAGTGTAGCGGTGTGGAATAAGCCATGCAGTCTGCCTAATCTAAGAAATGGAAATTATCTTTCCTATTCTCAAAAGTGAAAGATATATGTCATTAAAAGAGCCATAAGGCATCATCTCTTCTTTAAATTTATAGTCTACTACCATTTAACATGTCTGTATGTTAATGAACTAGTTTTGCAGGTATTAATTAACTACTGGCACCCAAAAATAGGTAGAAGAAATTAAAATATGCGAAAGCTGGATTATCCATTAAGGACACATTCATCAATATTAATAAAATACTTACATTCCATTTAAAAGTCCTTTCACCAATGTTCTTACATTCCTAGATTTCTTTTTCTTTCGTTTGATCCCATAACTTGTATTGTAAAATATTTTTCATGCATTCCACCTGTTTCTTTCTTGAACAACCACTTAGGATATTAAGTGGTAAGAACAGATCTAGATGTAATGTCCCATTCCACAAAAGGCACTTATTTTCCCAGGTGATTTAGGAAAAAAAAAAAAACTACTGAAGAAACATGATCCTATTTTTAGAAAACTGAGACAAGGAGAAAGACAATTGGAGAGACAAAGGAAGAGAAAAACAAACAATATTTCTAGACATTTTAATTCATGAACTATCTTAAGTAATGCAATTTGACATTTAAAAAAGCAAAGTTCAAAACTTACAACTTTAAGCCTTTAAGTCATTTATTTTTATGTAAACCAATTTCCAAAATAGTCCTAACAAAATTAAGAGAAAATATGAAGGTTTTCATCGTAAACCATGTTTTTTTTTAAAAAAATTAAATTTTCTGGGCTGGGGTATGGCTCAAGTGGTAGAGCACCTGACTAGTAAGTATAAGGCTCTGAGTTTAAACCCCAGTATCATTAAATTAAATTCTCCTTAGCAATGTCATTTTCACTACATAGCATCCTAGCTGCTGATAGAAATCAAAATATGCCAATACATAAAAAGCTCTGCCTTAAGCATAGTTGTTCACATACATTAACTTATTATCTTTACCTTTTATATTTTATCTATTTCACTCCATTCAGTTGCCTATACATTTCTAGTTGCTTCATCTGCTAATGTCTCTTCAATGAAATATTCTTTATGAGCTTCCTAAAAACCACTGGAATATATGACCTATAGTTACATATTGATTCTCATAAAGAAAAATTAGTTTTGAAAAATGAAACACTACTTTCCATGTTTAAGTTATATCCTACAAACCAGTCCTCAACTGAATTTTTTTGTAAACAATGTTGCAGTCTTTCACCAATGTTCTTTGGTTCAGCATAAATGATATGGTAAATTTGCATTCAAATTCTTGGAACTTTTCAAATCTGTTTCCCATTTAGCTGGCCAGCCAAAAACAATATTTTCATTTGTAAACAGCTGTTTCATAATCAGCCCTTTTGTATTATGTGAAATCCATAAGAGATAGAAAATTTTCTTAAAATACAGGAATTGCATTAATCCACTGCAAATCATTGATTAGTTTTTGTATACTACCACATAGTTTAGCTTATAGGGAAAGATTTTAAGCAAAATTTAATCTTGTGTCCAAATATAACATTACTTTAAACATGAGGTCATCTAAACATCTGTCTCCAATACATCACTGGGGATTTAAATCAAAAGTCTGCTAAACATGTACAATCATTTTGAAAATAAATAACAGGACAAATTTTGTCTTGATTGTGATTATCATGCATTTTAAAAGGAAACATTTATTCTAATAAGAAAAGTCTGAACTAATTTAAACTTTATTGACATTAAGTTAAAATAGTTTCATACAAGAGTGAAGGATATATTTCATTTATTTGCTGTTTAACAATATTTATATTTAACTGTTCAACATTTTATCATGAATTTTTGTTCACAAACATTAATTTCTTTATCTCAGCATATATTGTCAATCATAAAAAGCTCAAAAAAGAATATTTCCATTCAGTGACTAAAAAACAAATAATATTCTTTTTTTAAACTTTCCTTTATGGCAATCATGAATCCTCAACAAGAGTAAAATAGTTCTATCCATTTAATTGACTCGTTTTATGCTTTAAAATAAAATAAAAATAGCTAGTTACAAAAGACAATTAAGGCACTAAATTTACTCCAAGACTTTACAATCAGCAAAGAGTGGATTGTATTTTAAAGGAGATTAATTAAACTCAAACTTTACACCTTACTGTAGAATTTTATATGTGTCTAGTAAATATGAGTACATAAAAATTTAACACCAGGATTACTTCAGAACCCAGCTAAATACTGGGTTAGCATTAAAAATAACCAAAATGCTTAATCATTTAAAAAGTTTCTACCAAAACTAAAATGAACATGAGCAGTTGAAAACCTGGAGAAAAAGAAAATAGAGTATCACTGAGTAATATATTCTTAGAAAAACACCATGGTATTCCCCAAGTGCTGCAGAAATCCCCAGAGAATTCAGCTGCAAGGGATGTTAGCGTCCAGGTCCATCTTCCACCTGGTTGGCCATCACAAAATACAACCCTTGAAGGTGGTAGTGATGGCTTTCTGCACCACCTCAGTTCATTTCTTCATTTGGCTTATACTGTGAAGTTGCTGACTTTGGCCATGGCAGTTTCAAATTGTGTGTTTTTCTTTGGTTGATACTGGTAATGAACTTTAAAATGCATTTCTAGCATAAGTGGAACTCTATTAAGGGACTGTGACTCACTCACGTTGGACATTCATCAACAAAATTGCTTCCAACACATGTTTGTGGCTTGAAAATGCTTGATAATTGCATGAATCAGTTAATGAAAAGGACTTCAGGATTAAAACCCAAGAGTTTTCACCCTGGTCTTCTTGAACTGCCTACTAGCAAATGGCCTTAATTTCCCACATATAAAATGAAGCTTGTTCTTCACCTACACCTTCATGGAGATACTGGGAAAAGTTAATGAGAGCATATGTACAAAAGGAACTGTAAGTGTGTGTGTGGAGGGGTACTAGTGAGAGGGGAAGAGTGAATGAAGGAGATTAGGGGAGGGTATATGGTGGATGGACTTCATATACCTATATGAAATAGAACAAAGAAACCTCTTGCAATTGCTTGGAGTGGGGGGGCGCAGGTTGAGAGGGATGTAGCTAGTGTACAATATAAGCCTAATCAGAATTGTCATGATGAATCCCCCCACCCTGTATAATGAATATATCCTGATTTTAAAAAGTATAAACAAACAAACAAAAAAGAACTATAAAACTAGCACTAGTACACAAGTATAATGGTGATGCCTACCAACAATATAGCTATTTCAAAATCCTACATGCAGAGAAGCAAATACTGAATGTTAGATAATTTGTTTAATCTTTTGTAATACTGGGGTTTGAAATTATTTATTTTAAAACTATTCTTTAAAACTAAAGTAACATGCTTATAAATATCCTGTGGTATGTTAAAATAGAAAGGAAATCTCTTTTGAATATACAGTTAAAGAACTGATGGCTAAGTAATTCCTTTAGAAAAGTTAACTTTGGTGTTATTTTTAAAAACCTTATAAGATCCTAGGAACTTAATAATTAACATCTTTGAATTATCATGAAGAAACTCAGCCTTTCTTATCTAATAATATACAATTGAGTTTATTCTGGATTTTAGACTTTCCCTTCCAAAATGTTTAATACTGTAATAGTTCCCTAAAGATTCTGGGTCAGAATAAATAATACATGTTTTTGCATGTTGCCGGCATTTTCCCCTAAAATTTAAGCAAGCATGGATATGACCTAAGTGAGCACAGTTTGTATTTGACTCATATTTGTGTTAAAATAGCACAGAATTTTCTTAATGGTTATTTCTTTCATTTAACTCAATCTTTCTTTAAAAATTAAATATAAAAATAATTTTGCTTTTGTATAGTTTCCACTGTACAAACTTTACCTCACACATACAAAAATTACCTCGCATCTACTTTGTAATTTCTTATTTCTTTTCTAGTAGATTTACTCTATCATGCTGTTGACATAAAGTTTTCCCTTTTGGCTTTTCTCTATTCAGTTACTCAACATATCTGAAACAAAATACACAAGGTACTATGTGTCACTTTTTATGTTTTCTAGATTGTATTGACTTTTTAATTTGTTCAAAATACTCACTTTAGTAAGTTTTTCTTTTCGTTCGTGTGTGTGTGTGTGTGTGTGTGTGTGTGTGTGTGTGTGTATGTTTTCTGGCACTTTGACAGGACATAGGCCCCACCCTCAGGGGCAGCATTTCTCAATCTTGGTTGCACATTAGAATCACCTGGAACAGTTTTAAAACTGTTGAGTCCCCAAGAGACTCTGATTTAGTTGTTCTGGGGAGTGGCCGTAGCTTTGGGATCTTTTTAACTACCCCAGTGACTCTAAAGTGTAATCCAGGCTGAGAACACCTCTCTGGGAGTCTTGTTGGGGAGATGGCCAAACCACCAATTCATGGTGTGCATGCTTGGGCCAAACAGTGGGCTACCCACTTTGTGGCATTGTCTCATCTAACTCACAATAATGTTATTGAAAGATTTACCTCTCCTAACTTATGAATGAGGATACGAAGATTAGAAGGATTAAGAAACTCGCCTGAGGTCTTACCAGTGTTAATTGGCTGAGACAGAACCCAAGCAGCTCAGTCCATTTCCAGGATGATAACTCCATGTCACTGGCTATCATCAAGCAGAGACTATGCCAGAGCAGAATTTCAAAGAGGTAAGTCATTATGCTTGTGAATAAAAGAAGTGATAAAAAAAAGAATCACTTTTCAGGGATCTAAAACCACTAAAACAAACTTTGGAAATGTACATTTTTCTCCTTAGCTCAATTGTCACAAATGAATTGTAAATTTTCTCAAACTAGTAGTATCTGAGGCAAGGAATGCTCACAGGCAGTGTCTGGATCTAGCTGCATATCTCCCAGTTGTCATGGACACAGAAACGAACAATGAAATCATTATTTAACTATTATTTTTTTTTAGTTGCTAGTCAGCATATGATTGTATTTGTAAATGGCATCTCTGCATTCCCTGTGGATCAGGGGAGCTGTCCCTCCTGGTAGTGACATAATAACCACAAACAAAACAGTCCATCTCAGGGGAAAGCCATCTTTATCTGTCAGTTTTAGTCAGTTGAGAAACAGAGCTGCAGGCAGCTGAAAAAACAGTTTGACTGTTTTAAGTTTACAGGTGGCCTTATAATGGAAAGTTTTACACATTGAGATTCCTTTGCAAGTTAAAAACGTTTGGACAAAAAGGGACAAGAGTTGGCAGTCTTTTCATGCAATGCTTCTAACCAGCTTACGAAAGCAAAATATCAAATTTTAGTGAAGCTTGGAGAACTAAGCACCTGCCTTCTGGCAAACAGGCTCAGCTAAATGTTACCACGCTTTCTGGGCTACACACTCTGCATGGTTAAATCAGAACAGCCACACAAACTGTTATCACGGGGCCTGGCATACACACAACACTCAAGAAATGTTTTTTGAATGAATTCATGGACATTGGGGAGAACTAATTTAAAAAATACTTTTGAAAATCAGCTTACAGTTACAGTATATAATAATAATGTCAGTGTGTAAATCACAGGACAGCTGCATAAGGCCCAGGTAGAAAGTATTTTAATGTGTTTGTTTTTCTGCTTGAGTGTGTGCATGTATGGGCATGAGGTTGTGTGCATGCACTGTGTTTGTTTGTGAGAAATCAGGATGAAAGTAGAAAAAGCATCTGATAACTCCATATGTATTAGCAGCATGGACCCCATGCTTGGTGCGGGGGAGAGGGGCTGCCTCTGAAAGACACCTGTTGTACTTTCTCCAATATATAGGGCAATGAAGTATTCAGAACCAGTCTATTTTGAAGTTAGCTCAAAACATCTCTTTCCTGATTTTCCTAGTATAGTTAAATTTGAGGCCTACCAAATGGATTAATTTAATGTAAATATTTAATGCATCATCCTCTTGAAACAAAGTACAGTTAGCCAAGTTTATCAATTTAGCTACTATTTTCCTATAATAACATCAAGGATTTAAAAAGTCACATTAGTCAGCTATGTATAAGAGTCAGAAAAGCATGGAAGGAGTTGGTAGGAAACCCAGGACAGACCCTGACTGAGAGTACTGATACATGGAATTGAGCAACTAGAAAAGAAATAGAAAACTAATGAGAAAAGAAGACTCAGCTAATTATAAACTTTAGTTATAATGGAACAGACAGATCCTAGCTAATCTATAAATCAATAATTGTCAATCAGGTAGTTTCTATCTTTGGGGGGTGGATATGGAAATAATTTACATTGAAGATAAGGTCTTTCTTATCTTGATTAATAATGATTGATAAAACCTACTCCAAGTAATTACATCCAATATTAAAACCTCAAAAGTTATTACAAATGATGAATATAATAGAATATCTACAAACATATAAGTTCCCTTCCTTGTTAAAAAAAAAAAAGTAGGTTGTAAAGGAAGGAAGTGACCCAAATCATTTGATAGGCTGCCTACTAAAATAAGAATTAGGTATCACTCCTTACCCCCTAAACATATACGATTATTATGGGTCAGTTGAAAATAAAAATTTTAAAGAACCACTCATGTTGGCCTACTATGGGATTTGGAAAGGAAGTCTCCAGAATCAACCTAATGACTCCATTTTGGGAATTAAAAGACCACTTCATCTAGTGAAAAAGATGATATACAGTGATATACAGTGTGAGGAAAAAAACAAAATTCTAGAGTTAAGTAAAATAAGATTAAGTTTCTAGAAGCTAAACAGAAAACTACAGCTTATGTCATAAATTCAGAACTATAGTTAATAGATGCATGTATTCATATAATGTGAGCATTGTGAACATTTTTTAAAACTTTGAAAGATACTTAGATTCTTGTATATTTTTCTTTTCCGCTAGTAAAAACTAATACAGAGTACCCACTAAATGTTAGGTGCAATTCTAAACACTTTACATGTATCAACTCACTGGATCCTTCCAACAATCTTATGAAGTAGACAGCACTGTAGCTCTACTTTATGGATGAAGCACAGAATTGTTAAGGTGCCTGCTCAAAGCAACAGCTACTAAGGGACAAAGCTGGGACTGGACACCAGGCATCGGGACACTGCCTCCCTGCTTTACCCCTGTTCTCCTTGAAAGGGAAAGTTCACTAACACACGGATGTCTCTTGATGGGGTCCCTTTGTTTTGTCTTTGTTCACCTGGGTTGTACTTATGTCCTTGCTCAGCTCTTACAGTATACTCAACTATGTAACTATTTTAATAATAGTTACATAATACTTAAGTATGTATATATACACACATAAGTACATACACACACACACATATGTACATGAATGGGTTAAACAACTGTTTGGGACACCACAGTAGGAACTTAATATACCAAAAGGGGAAAACTAAGATTAGGTTGCTATGACGCCATTGAAGAAGTCTACTACCAAGTGACTGATGCACATGGGGATTGGCTCAGGGATTTCTGAGGAAGTGTGAGACAAATAGGATTGACGGGAAAAACACTGTGGCCTAATTCCAAACAGTAACCAACTTAAGAATAAGATACTCTATGATTCCTGTAACCATTCCTGGGGAGCCAGGTAACAGGAAGAAGCAGGTCTACATTCATACCCAGTCAAGGTCTAGGAAGACAATTATGAAGGGCTAAAGAACCAGTGGGACCAATAGTACCTAGAATTAAAGGCCCTCCGTGATTGACTTCTACTGAGAGCAGCAAAACTGGGGCCCCTTGGATTTGCTTGTCTTCCTTTTCAGCTAGTAGGAAGAAAATGTATGGTTCCTGGGGCAATGTTTGAAGTTGGTGGCAGGTAAGTGGCATGATTCTCACCACCAATGACATTGGGCATAGAGGAAACTGTCCCAGATCATTTAGGAAAAAAGGTTTCTATTAAACTGATAAAAGATTTAGAATTTTAATTGATTAACTATAAATCATTAAATCAATAACTTAATTACCATTAAAACATTAATCAAATAATTAAATCCAAGATAAATAAAAACTAAAATAAACTTGACATTTATTCATTCATCTGTTCACTTGACAAATGCTTACTGAGCACCTATTCTGTTCTGGGTTGTTTTAGGCGCTAGGAATATAGGCTGGTATCAAATAGAGCAAAATTCATACCTTCAGAGAACTTAGAGTCTACTGATAGAAATAAGAGTATATTTTAGTATATATCATTATCTTAAATGATTTATTTAACAATTAGTATTATGCATTCTTACATTGAAACATGCCAGTATTTGAGATCAATAAAACAGAAAAAATGGGATATTTTTATTTAATTAAATCAAAATTTTATTATGTGGTTATTTTCTCAGCAATTTAATGTTAGTAAAATAGATACTAAAAGTGTGACTTTTTCATGTCTATTCAAAGCAAGGGTACATATATTCATACAAACCATAAACCATAATAAAAATGCAGGTATTTGCCAATCTAGAACTAGTCGAATGCTAGCAACCTGTACCTCCTAATGACCCCTGCTGCTCCATTTTCTCTGACCTTGCTTCCTATGCCTAAATCTCTGGTTTGTACTTCCTCTTTGGTTCATCTCTGCTTTCTGACTATTCACCATCAATCTATCTATCCATCACTCACTGCAAAAGTCTGTTCCAGGAACCACTAGGGTCAGAGGCTTTAATACTCACTCCCCCTTGACCCTTGGGATCAGGGCCTCACATATGTGGAAAGAGACCCAGTACTCTTATTTTTTTGAGATTCTCAATATATTAAAAAGTAAAGAAATGCCAACTCACTGTGTGATTATAATGTAGTTTATTTTAAATGCCTACATTTCATACAGCAATGCTTTCAACCCATACAATTGGCAATGACCCATGACTTTATGCCTAGCCATATTTGAAATAATTGTTAAAAGCTTAAATTTATGAATTCTGTGTATGTGAGGTCCCACTACACAGCCTGCTGGTCCTGCCTGGTACCCTGTCCTTCTTGGCTGTTGACACCTTTTTATTTCATTGCAGGGAAGAAGCCACTATGCTTTTTCCACATACAAACAAGGAGTTCCATTGCTCACCACTTAGAGCTTTTAAAGTGCCCAGGAAGAGTTAGCACATGGCTCAAGGCATAAAGTATGTGCCCATCAATCTTAAGGCCCCCATATTCAAATCCTGGTACCACCAAGAAGAAAAAAAAAAAGCACAGGGAAGCTAACAAAGGCCAAAGAACCCTATGTTTGGGCACAGGAATCTTAAATGCTCCAGAGTTAAGAACTCCTATTTGTGGATTTCATATTTAGTGCAGGCTTTTTATTAAAGGATGAATTTCAGTAACATATTCCAGGGAAAGTACACCCTGACTTCAAACTACTTATCTAAAATTACGGATTTTTGGAACATGACCTACACGTATAGGGCCCTACATGAAACTATACTTATTCTCACACAGGTAACTATTTCTTATATGTTCTTTTTAACAAAGTAACTGTGACTCCTTTCTAAAAGATTCAAAATATCCACAAATATGACTTTACAGAGCTGAGTGGGGCGGTATAGTCCTATAATTCCAGCTACTCAGAAGGCAGAATTGCTTGAGCCCAGGAGTTCAAGGCTAGCCTGAGCAATATAGCAAGACCTCATCTCTTTAAAAATATGGTTTTATACAATGGTGTAATTCATTTCTAACCTATGTAAAGAATGGAAAGCAAAAGACTTCCTCTTTAAGTTTAAAATAAAAAACATACTTAGTATATAGTTTCTCACATAAGCAGCAACTGCATGTCTTATACTGATTATACGTTAGATATAGTCATACTGGTTAGTGTTGTATCATTTTTATTTAGATATACTTTAGGTCAAAAACAAAAGTTTTGTTGTTAGTGATGCTCTGAGAAACTATGGCTCCTGCAAGGAATGTTTCCCTGCACTGTTAGCAAGACAAGTGGTATCACTATGATACAGTTGGCTTCTAAATCAGAAAGTATTCACTTTACACTTGCCACCTTTACATCTGGTTAGGCAGGGTATACCAACAAAATAGGTCTCAATGGAACTTTACTGTTTAATGGAAAATGCTATGTTAATAAAAATATATTTTTTGAGTGACTGCTATAGTCTAAACACTAGATTAGGCCTGGTAACACAAAACAAACAAGGCATGGTCTCTACCTAAAAGGAGATCTCTCTTCACAAGACTCTTTGCAGTGCAGTTTTTAAAATTAATCACAGTAGAATTAAAAAAAAAACCCTAAAATAATTGTGAAAAGCATCCTTGCAGTGAAACATAATGCTACATAATATGTAAGCATACCAATGAAAATATTTTAAGTACGTATAATACTAGATAATAGCTATTTAAATACCCACTATTGAGTAGACAGATGAGCTGTTTCCTAACTTCAGAAGATATAAGTCCAACAAGAATCATGTAGACATTATTGTTACCACTGCTTTTATTTTTTAAACTTAGATGCCAGTACCT